TTTTTTTCCCGCCTCTTTCACTCCTCTCCTCTTCTCTTTCTCTGTCTCTCCTTTTTCTCTCCTCTCCTCTTCTCTTTCTCTGTCTCTCTACTGTCTATAGCATGAATGCATACAAGCTATGCTTCCGGTCCAATACAGACATGATGAGGGTGCGTTGCGTTGTCTTGGGGGAGAGGGGGGGGGGACGTTTTTCATGTCATGTTGTTCCGTCTACTTCCTCTTTCACTCTCTCCCGCTCTCTGCCTCTCTCTCTCTCTCTCTCTCTCTCTCTGTCCCTCCCTGTCACCCTCTCTCTTCTCATCTCTCATTTTCTTCTCCTCTCTTTTTTTCCTCTGTATCTCTCTCTCTTTGTTGATACCATGTCCCCGTAATCTCCCTCCCTCCCTCCCTCCCTTCCTCCCTCCCTCCTCTCTCCCTTCCTCTGCCTCTCTCTCTTCCCCCCCCTCTCTCTCTCCCTTTCCCTCTCCCTCTCTGCCTCTCGATGCCTCTCTCTCCTTCTCTCCTTCTCCTCCTCTCATTGCATCCAATTTTTTTCCTCCGCTCTCAAAGCCGGCTTCTGCTTCTATTACTTCCACTCTTGGCCGGGATCCCGCTGCCAGGGTTCGGCTCTGCGCCTTTATCCCCTTTTCTTCTATCCTCCCTACCGGCCTCCCTCCCTCCCTCTCTTCCTTTCTCTCTCTCTCTTTCCCTCTCCCTCTCTCCCTTTCTCTCGCTCTCTATGTCCGTCTCCCTCTCACTCCCCCTCTCGTTCTATCCATGCCGCGGGATCCCGACCAACGTTCTTGCTCCGCTCTCAAAGCCGCGTGCTGCAAATGTTAATTCCACTCTTGGTCGGGATCCCGCTGCCTGGGTTCTCTTCTTCTCCTTGATCTCCTCCTCCTCCTCCTCCCCCTCCTATTCTCTCCTTTCGTCCGTATTCTCAGTTGACTCTTCCTTTCCTCCTCCTCTCCTCCCTCCTCTCCTTTCTTCACTCTCTCCCTCTTCCCTCTGCATCCTCTCTCTCTCTCTCTCTCTCACTCTCTCTCCCTCTCTCCTTGCGGCACCTCCTGCCCCGTCCTCCCACGTGTTCTCCCTTCTCCCTCTCCTCTCCTCTCCTCTCTTCTTTCTGTTCCTTCTTTTCTCTGTTTCGTTTTCTTTATCTTCTCCTTTTCCTCCTCAGGTCCCTCTCCTTCTTCCTTCCTCTCCTTTCTCCCTCTCCTTTCTCCCTCTCTTTTCTCTCTCTCCTTTCTCCGTCTTCTTTATCTTCGTTCTCCTTTTCCTCCTCATGTCCCTCTCATTCCTCCTCCCTCTCCTTTCTCCCTCTCCTTTCTCCGTCTTCTCTCCCTCTTTCCCCCCGTCTCTCCGTCTTGATCGCTTCGCTTCCCCTCCTCTTCCTCTCTCCTCCCTCTCCTTCCCCTCCTCTCTCCTCCCTCTCCTTCCCCTCCTCTCTCCTCCTCTCTCTCCTCCCTCCTCCTCCTCACCTCTCTTCACCTTTTCCCTGCTCCTCCCTCGGCTTTCTCTTGTTTTCTTCCTTTTTTTTTTTTCTTCTGCGTATGCCCATCTCTCTCTTCCACCTCTCCCCCTCTTCGGTTTATGTTTTTTTTTTTTTAAATAATAATTCCGTTGTCTTATTCGCCTTTCTCAGCGGCGGGCTTGATCCCTCCCCTCCTTATTTTTATCTCCCCTGACGTCCTTCTCTCGTCCTATGCCTTTCTCAGTGTCCTTTGTGTGGGGTGCCGTCCTGCCATTCTTCTATGGGCCTCGCTCCACTACACAGTACTCTACATGCATCTGGACGCTTTTTAGACCACGTGCATTCGGACGACGAGTCGATCATTTTGAATGTATTGGGACCAGAAAGCGTCCAAATGCATGTGGAGTGTTGTGTAGTGGAGCGAGGTGAGGCCCTATATCTCAGTCCGTCGGCAATCCTCTCTCTTATCGCTCTCGTCACGTGGTCACCTCCTCCCCTCTTCTCCTCCTCCTCCTCCTCCTTCTCCTCCTCCCCCTCCTCCTCGCTTCTTCTTCCCCCTCCTACTCCCTTTTCCTCCTCCTCTTCCGCCATCCTCTCTGCTCTCCTCCTCTCCCTCTCCCCCAACCCTATCCCTCTTTCTGTCTCTCCTCTCTTTCCTCCCTCCCACCCACGCCTTATCTTCCCGGTCCGTCTTTTCCCTCCCTGGATCATTTTCACACTATGACTTCTTTTATTGAAAAGAAAGAATCTGGCCTTCATTAGACTCCAATACATTCACAGAAATACTGCCCCTTTGCTTCCCTTCCTCCTCCTCCTCCTCCCCTCTCCCGCGCTTTTTTCTTTTCCCGCGCATTTTTTTTCTCTCCCGCGCTTTCCCCCCCCCTCTCCCGCGCTTTTTTTTTCCCTATCCCGCGCTTTTTTTTTTCCTCTCCCGCGCTTTTTTCCCCTCTCCCGCGCTTTTTTTTTTTCAGTTTTATATTTCCTCCCAAAAATGTGTTCTGACTGCCTGTCCGAGATATTTAGTGTTGAAGACAACAATAAAAAACACAATGCTCACCAATTGCAAAACAGTCGTCAAAATCTTTGCCCATCAGTCCTACGTGCCCCTCTCCTCTCGGTCTCTCCTGTCAATCCTCTCTGTATCTCCTGTCTCTTCTCTCTCTTCTCTCTTCCCTTTGTCCTTCCTTCTCTTCTTCCTTGCATTCTCCACCGTCCATTTCTGTCTCCGTTCTTTGGTGGTGGTTAATTACGTAAAGTGTTGATTGCCCCCGTTTCTGCCTATCTTTTTGCTTGCTCTCTCCCTCTTTCCCATTTCCCCTCTCTCCCTCTCCCTCTCCCTCTCGCTCTCCCTCTCCCTCTCCCTCTCCCTCTCTCCCCTCTCTCCCTCTCTCCCATTTCCCCTTGTCCCTTCCTTCCCTGCTTTCATTCTTTCTCTTCCTCTAATCCTCCCATGCTAAAATGGCCTTCTCTCCCATTTCCCCTCTCTCCCTCTCCCTCTCCCTCCCCCTCTCTCCCTCTCCCTCTCCCTCCCCCTCTCTCCCTCTCCCTCTCCCTCCCCCTCTCTCCCTCTCCCTCTCCCTCCCCCTCCCCCTCTCTCCCTCTCCCTCCCCCTCTCTCCCTCTTCCTCTCCCTCTTCCTCTCCCTCCCCCTCTCTCCCTCTCCCTCTCCCTCCCCCTCTCTCCCGTTACCTGTTCCGCAGAAGTTGAGCAATGGCCTTCGGAGGGGGGGGGGAAGAAGGGGGAGGGGCAATATATGGAGCGAAGGGACATGATTGTTTTTGTTCGTCAGTACTTGCCGATTGATGCGTGGAATCAGGGTCTTCTTCTTCTTCTTCTTCTCTCTTTTTTTTGTTGTTTTTGTTTTCTCCCTTGGCTTTTATATGTCCTAGTGTTTGGGACTCCTATTTGGGACCTACAATTTGGAACTACGTAGCACTAACGTTCTTGTCCCATTCCTGCCTTCTTGTTTTGGATGCCTCTACCCTGTTCAGATCTGAAGATGCTCATGTCGTCTGAAGATGGTGATGATTTGTTATTATTACCTGTTATCATCAGCATAACCTCTAATTGCTGATGAAATCAAGACAGCTCATCCTCATGAAGAACGAGGAGGCAAGTGCAACCTTGTGTTGTTCTTCTTGCGTCGAACTAACAAACCGACAAGTGTAAGTTTCCCTATATGTTGGACGTGGGGAGATGGAGAGAGAGAGAACTGGAGAGAGAGAGATGGAGATGGAGATGGATGATGGATGATGGGGGGAATTGTCATCAAACACTGCAGCAGCTCAGCTGGATAGAGAGTAACAACCTTGTGTAAGTTGAAGGTCACAGGTTCAAATCCTGTAGGATGCTGAATTAATTTCTGTGGGAGAGTGGGGGAGTGGTTAAAGGCGACAGACTGTATATATCTGTTGAGGGTTATATTTCTACATAGTATTTTCGAATCCTGCCTCGCCCGCTCGGTGGCCTTCATGCCTGTGTGGAGCAGCGCTGATTTCGACAAGGCAACAAGCATGCACCTGTTCCTGCTCTTGAGCAAGGGGAGGGAAAGAAGAGGGTGGAGAAGAGACATCCAGCCAGCGAGGGGGGAGGAGGATGGATTGCTTGGGTCTCTTTTCAATGCTATCGTCGATTCTTGTTGTTGTAAGCAAAAATCATGACGGCGGTGATTAGATTGGAAGATGATGTGATTGGATTTGGATGGAAGGAGTTTTGAATTGGTGAACGAAAGAACAGAGATGCTTTTGATGGGAGAGGAGGTGGTGGTGGGAGTTCGATGTAGGGGGGGGGAGGAGGGGGTAGGGGGCTGGCTATCCCTGCAAGAGGAAGTGGGCGGTCGGAAATCATGATGGGAGAGGAGGTGGGTGAAGATGACTACGCCAGAAGGAGGTCGGGATCAGGGAGGCCTGACGGGTGAAGGAGACCCAGTGGAGGGGGCAGTTCGTTGTAGGGAAGTTGGGCGGGCAAGCTGCGGCTCCTGCGGCTGATGCAGAGGGGAGGAAGAAGGGAG